TGTACAAATAAAAGTATTATTGGCGATCACTTGAATTATAATCATATTAACCCCAAACAAGATTATTAGTTATCTTATTAAGCGTGATTACAAGTACAAATTCCCTTTAAACATGCATAAAAGGCGTGATCAAGCAATAACAATAATAATACGGAAATTTCATGAAATGCCCCTGAGCAATTTTTTTATTCACCAAATACCCATCAAAACTTTGAAATTCACCAAATACACTTGAGTTTAAGAAAAATGTCACGAAATGCCCTTATTGACTAACGGCGGTTAACAGCGTTAGTCATTAATGACTAATACGCCACGTGACAGCCTCTAATTGGTTGTTGTAATATTAGTTAATTAATTATTAAAAAAAAATTTTAAAAAAATTTAAAAAAAATTTAAAAAATACCCCAACTACCCAAGACCTACCCCATCCCCAACGGCCGACCACCAGCCACCACCGCCAGATCCCACCCCTCCCCCTGCGCCGGTGGTCCCTTTTTGCCGGCGAGAGCAACCCCCCCCTCCGATACCCCCTCCCCTACCCCCAGCCCCCTCTCCCTCCGTTTCCCGTCCCCTTAAACCCCTCCCCATCCCTCGAAAAACCCTCCTTCGCGACCGGCGTCCAAACCCCTCCCCGGCGCCGGTGAACCTTTTTCGCCCCACCCGCCGCCATCCCCACCCCCTAAAAACCGAAACCGAAAAATACCACCCTAAAAACCAAAAAACCCCCAAATCGAAACCCTAGATTTCGATTTAGGGTTTTTTTCGATTAAAGGTAATTTTAGTTTTTTGGGTGGTGGTTTAGGGGGGAAAGGGGGTGGGGATGGCGGGGGGTGGGGCGAAAAAGGTTCGCTGGCGCCGGGGAGGGGGTTTGGACGTCGATCGTGAAGGAGGGGGGTTTTCGAGGGATGGGGAGGGGGTTTAAGGGGACGGGAAACGGAGGGAGAGGGGGCTGGGGGTAGGGGAGGGGGTGTCGAGGGTGGGGGGGATGGCCTCGCCGGCGACCGGCGCCGGTTCCGGCAGGAGCTGGTGGTGGGGCGGGGTGGGGTCTAGGGGGTGGTGGGGGTATTTTTTATTTTTTTTTTATATTTTTAAAGTTTTTTAATAATTAATTTATTTATATTACAACAACCAATTAGAGGCTGCCACGTGGCGTATTAGTCATTAATGACTAACGGTGTTAACCGCGTTAGTCATTAGCGGCATTTGGTGAAATTTTTTTAAACTCGGGAGTATTTGGTGAATTTGAAAGTTTTGATGGGTATTTGGTGAATAAAAAAATTACTCAGGGGCATTTCATGAAATTTCCGATAATAATATATCAAGCAACATAATAATCATCATAATAATTGTTGGGGTGATGTCACTCCCACTGACCTTCTTGTAAACACAAGACTCATCTTGATTCTTGATAAAACCAAACTTACTGATGGCTTCATCAAATCGCAGATTCCAACTTCTACTTGCTTGCTTTAATCCATAAATGGACTTCTTAAGCTTGCATACCTTCTTAGGATTGTTCTGGTCGACAAAATCTTCAGGCTGTGTCATGTACACAGTTTCTTCCAAAATTCCATTGAGGAAGGCGGTTTTGACGTCCATCTGCCATATTTCATAATTGTAATATGCAGCAATCGCTAGAAGAATTCGAACGGACTTAAGCATAGCTACTGGAAAAAAGGTTTCATCATAATCAACGCCGTGAATTTTCCTGTAACCTTTTGCTACCAGCCTTGCTTTGTAAATGAATACATTTCCATCTTTGTCGGTTTTCATGTTGAAAATCCATTTACATTCGATAGGTGTGTAACCTACGGGTAAATCAACCAAGTCCCATACTTGATTTTCAAACATGTAGTCCATTTCGGATTTCATGGCCTCTTGCCATTTTGCAGAGTCGGGGCTCATCATAGCTTGCTTGTAAGTTGTCGGATCATCTCCATCCACTACTAGGGTGTCCTGATCTTCGGTTAATACAACACCGAGATATCTGTCAGGTTGAGATCTTGGCCGAGTTAACCTACGTAGGGTGATGGACTGAGCATTTGCATTGTCGGTTTGACTTTGCATATTTTGACTTTGACCAATGTCAACAGATGCTTCGTGAGCATTTTGATTGTCAACTTGTCCTTGTTGCTCGTCCTCTCGAACTTTGTCAAGTTCGATTTTCCTCCCACTTGTCATTTTAGAGAGATGCTCCTTCTCCAAAAAGACACCATTACGAGTAACAAGCACTTTGTTCTCGGATTTGCTGTAGAAGTAATACCCTTTGGTTTCTTTTGGATAACCCACAAAGTAAACCTTGTCAGATTTCGGATGAAATTTGTCAGAAATGAGTTTCTTGACATATGCTTCGCATCCCCAAATCTTGAGAAAAGACAACCTTAAGGTTTATTTGTCCATAATTCATATGGAGTCTTTTCCACTGCCTTTGACGGAGCACGGTTCAGTGTAAGTGCCGCAGTTAAAAGTGCATGTCCCCAGAAAGAGATTGGAAGTTCATTAAGACCCATAGTCGATCGGACCATGTCTAACAGGGTTCGATTCCTCCTTTCAGATACTCCATTCCATTCAGGAGTTCCCGGAGGTGTCAACTATGAAATTATTCCATGTTCTTTCAGATGGTCATCGAATTCTTGGCTCAAACATTCGTCACCTCGATCCGATCGAAGCGCTTTAATTTTCTTGCCGAGTTGGTTTTCAACTTCATTCTAAAATTCCTTGAATTTATCAAACGATTCAGATTTGTGCGACATTAGATAGACATAATCATATCTACTATAGTCGTCCGTGAAGGTTATGAAATACCGATAACCACTCCTTGCGGGTGTACTCATTGGCCCACATACATCGGTGTGTATTAGTCCCAAAAAGTCATTGGCCCTTTCTCCCAACTTGGAGAATGGTTGCTTTATCATCTTGCCTAATAAACATCCTTCGCAATTCTCAAAGGATTCTAAATCAAATGAGTAAAGAATACCTTCTTGAAGAAGCTTCTTGATGCGTTTGATGTTAATGTGGCCAAGACGACAGTGCCACAAGTAAGTTTGACTAGACGGTGTAGTCTTAGCTTTCTTTGCAGGATTATTAACGTTATAAATTTCTTTGTCTAGAGATAACACATAAAGACCATTTTCTGAATGTGCCGTACCATATAAAACATTATCGAGATAAAATGAACATGATTGGTCCTAAACTCGAAATTCAAAACCTTTGGCGTCCAACGCCGAAATTGAAATGATGTTTTTGGTAATTTTGGGAACACAATAAACATTGTCAAGTTCCAAAACTAGCCCCGTGGGCAAAGACAAACTAAGAGATCCTACGGATATAGCACCAATCCTTGCTCCATTTCCTACCCGGAGCTCGATCTCTCCCTTCGCTAGCCTCCTAGTGTTCCTTAGTGCCTGTGAATTGGAACAAAGGTGTGAGCCACATCCGGTATCTAATACCCATGAAGCCGAGCTAGTGAAGTTAAAGTCTATAACGTAAATACCTGATGTAGAAACAACGGTTCTGTAGACACCCATTTGTGTCTCCCCAAAACCAAACCCGGTGATGAGTACCTTTCACGTCGAATCATAATCGAATGAAACGAAAGTGTGGAAAAGTCTAGTGTTGCGGAAAGCTTTTATTTTCTTTTCTCTTCTTTCTGTTTTCGAAAACCCACTCTATTTTATGAAAACGTCCATTCCAGTTTAGTTTGGACCATGATAAGGGTCCAATAATGGTGTAGTTGGATGGGGCTTGCAAAGACCTTTCCAACGATATATTATAAGCTCAATTCCGATGAATAATGAGGAAGTTATGGCCAAAATACTAAACTGGGCCCAAACCGGATTTTACCTACGACCCAATGATCATGAGGAGGGTTCAAAGGTTTAATCCTATTCCTAAACTAATTAGGATTGATTAGAATCTTCTATAAGTTTCTAAAATATATTAATTATCCTTTTCTGAAATGATAATATTAAGGAATTTTATTTAAATATAAACTTTCCTTTTTTTATAAAACTTTTCTTTTTTAAAGTCCTAATTCTATTCGGATTTAAACATGTTCAAAGACAGTCAGATATTATTTTCGTGCCTCATATTTTTTATCCAAATTTTATATGGTTGGATAGATCTTGAAATTATCTTTCCAATGATATATTATAATAATAATTCCGAGCTATAACGAAAAAGATATGAATAAGATATCAAACTCTATCCAAAACTAACATCGTTTCACTATTTCGTTCATATCTTTTATTATACAACATATTTTAATCTGATTAAAATTGGGTTAGAAAGTAGAATTCAATATCTTTCAAACAACATCTTATTCATCTTATTCCGATTTCTGGATCAAAAGATATGATAAAAACAAAATCCGCAAAAACTGCTGTCTACGAGTTTTATTTCGATTCGAATTTGGATTCTTTTCTTAATTCTTCGACTCTCTTTTTTCCTATAAATAGAGGTCATATCTCCTCTTAATCAATCACCAACTCTCATCAAGATTTTCTTGATTATTCTCTCTCTCTCCCTTTTTCTAAACTAGCCTTTTCTCAAATAAATAATTCTGCATTCATTAGATCTTGATACACCTAGCCATATTCGAAGTTGTCTTCGCCCTAGACGTGAAAGGTTTTAATTTCTGAGGGTTTGGTCCCAAATTTCTCTTTCAATTATTTAATTTAATTGCTTTGTTTATTATTTTCCTTGAATTTACTAACGTGTGTATTTTGTTATTAGAAAGAGGTACGAGGCATCCAAGTAAGTACTTTAATGGTTTAATTGATATTATGATGTAGAAATCATGCTTAGAATGTTATTATGATATTCCTAATATCATGTCTAGGGTATTTTTAATATTAAATATGATTGTTATGATGCATCCTATTCTCTTCCTAATATTTATGATTGTTAGTATCATGTTAGGGTTAAAGATTTGATTTTTATTGTTTAGTGACATGCTAGGGTTTGTTATTAATCTTGTTAGTATCGTGCCTAGGATCTTGCTATGCTTTAACCTGATTATGATGAACATGATTATGATTGATATTATTATTATTCATGATATTGATTATTTATTATGTTGCTTGATATGCTATTTATTATTTATTGCTTGATCACCTTTATTGCATGTTTAAAGGGAATTTGGTACTTGTAATCATGCTTAATAAAATTATTAATAATCTTGTTTAGGGTTAATTGTGATTATAATTCAAGTGATCGCCAATAATAGATTTGTTTGTGCATTAATGTTCAACCAACATAGATTAAACAGGTTTAGGGTTAATCCTATTGATTGCATGTTAATCAGAAAGCACACATGAATACGAGCAGAATAAAGTAGAGGCCTATTATTAGGGCAGGTTCAATCTCTTTTAGGTTGGATTTTTACCTTCATCCCCGAACCCTTATTTGGTTCATGACCTTATGGAGTTGACGATCTCTTGGATCGTTAAGGGGTGTAACCTTCACCTCGTGAACGGTTTACAAGTTCCTTAAAAACTTGTTGGCGACTCTTTTGCTCTATCTTCTTCCCTTTTGGACGCCACCGTACTTTAGTGTATGATTACAGTGGGGTTCAAGCTAGTGGGATTTTAAAGGCTTGAAACTATTCCCTACAGGTTCCTTCTTCTTATCTTCCTTGAATTTGAGGCAGTCTCTCTTCCAATGTCCCTTCTTCTTACAATAGAAGCATTTGGAATCAGACTTAGAAGATGCTACCTTTTTCTCCTTGTTGTCTTTGGTAGCTTTCGGCTTAGGCGAAAAGTTCTTCTTTCCTTTCCCCTTGAAGCCCTTCTTATTTTTTCCCGCCCTTTTTAATCATTAGCATATCATGCCTTCCCTCATCCTTGAGCGTCTGTTCAGCTTGCTTCAACATCCCATGAAGCTCGGTGAGGGTTTTCTCCATGCTATGCATGTTGTAGTTCATCTTGAACTGGTCATAGCCTTTGTGAAGGGAATGGAGAATGATGTCAATAGCCATTTCATTTGAATACCCCGCATCAAGCCTTCCCATGTTCTCAAATAATCCGATCATTTTGAGCACATGTGGGCTGACTGGCTCTCCTTTCTTAAGCTTAGTCTCAAGGATCTGCCTGTGGGTTTCAAGCCTTTCAGTTCGAGCCTGTTCTTGAAACATATTTTGTAACTCAGAAATAATCTCATAGGCCGATTCCTTCTCGAAGAAGGTTTTCCGAAGTTCAGGAGACATAGTGGCTAGCATTACGCACTTGACATCCCGATCGGCTACTTGCCATCGGTTAAGGGCTGCTTGAGTTACCTCCTCATTGGGAGCCTCGGGCATTTCCTCATCAAGGACATACTCTTTCTGTTCTTGTATAAGAACGATGCGCAAATTCCTTTGCCAATCAAGGAAATTGGTACCACTCAACTTCTCCTTGTCGAGAATTGAGCGTAATGAAAACTGGTTGTTTGTGGTTGAAGACATGATTCTACAATTGAAAGAATTTTAATGAAAAACCATTCAAAATTACTTAAATATGATTGAATTTTATTCATGCAAATTTTCAATACTTATTTAACGTCTTATTTACACGTAAAATTGTCCCTATTTTGTGAAAATAAGGCGATTCCAAGATCCGAAGAAACAAAGAGTGGTTAAGCATGCTTTGGCTTGTCTTAACACTCAATCTTCTAGGATAAGCATTGCCTTGCTAATGGCTCTAAGCCACTCTTGGTTAGACAATCGTCGCATCTAATGCATCTTTGACGATGTATCTCTTTTGCCACGGTATGTGAGGACTCCTCACTTATACCGATGAGTTAAACCAAAACCAACGTGCACACCCGGTGTGCCTTATGAGCCTTGGAGAAGTGATGGCACCTCGCTTTGGCGTAGCCTACCATCACCCTCGTTCGGTTGGTAAGTGTTGTTTTGGAAAGGCAAGTTTGACTTAATATTATTAGGGACCTAGGATTTCTATGTTGGTTGATTTAAGTGAACTTAACTAATCATCGCAACATAAAGAAAACCTAAACATGCATCTAACGAATAATTCACATGTATATAAGCATAAAATATAAAGAGAAATTATAGATGCATATTGGCAACTAGTATGACCCCTTGAATTCTTCAAATCTTCAAAAGGTCTTCATTGCAATTCAAGGCTTTGTCTTCCAAGATACGCCGTCTTCAAGACTTAACCAAACTATGCAAATACTAGTGTCTACGACTAGGAATAATCTAAATATTAAGGTACAAAAATACTTAACGGTGCGTAGACCGTATTTAGATTTACAAAAATACATAACGACACGTAGTCCGTATTTTCTATCCTAATCGGGTCCCACTAGTTGCCATTTCATAAAACCTGTGAGAGAGAATATATATTCCATTCATCCATTCACTATTTGTGAATGGCCCATGCAATTTACAATATCAAACAAGTAAAATGCATTTAAACAACTCGCGCACTAGTAACTAATCTAGGTGGTTAATCCGATTAACACGCCTAATTAAAACTAGTCAAAGTTGTTTAACCGATTATGTAATTGACGTCATTAATAATTGAAGCTCCCACTAAATTCCGCATTTCCCTTAATTAATCCAATTAATTAAGTCGGTAGCACCCAAACTTGTCAAAATAAAATTTTGCCAATGCCGCTCAAAACCGAGGCCTAGCCTCCCAAAATTTTAATTAAAATAAACAAAATTAATTAAAATAAATAAAACGGCAAAATAAGCAATATTTAGCCAACCGCATTTCAAGTGGCTTTCACTTTAAGCGTTTTGCCAAGGAAACTCGAATAATCGCGGCTCATGCAAACCAAGCATACTAAGGCTATTCACCTCACCGCACCAAGCATATGCACACACAAAAAACTCCGCACACACGGCCCGCAGCAAGCAGCCATGGGCTACTGCCACTGCCGCACGCACAGCCATAGCTGCTGGTGCGTGGCTGCTGCGGCATTGTGCTGCTGCCGCGCGTGTGGCCACACGCAAGGCGGGGCAGCCACCTTGACAGCCACATGCGGGCTGCTATGCAGCCCGGCTAGACAAGGGTGGTTCTTTGCCTCGTTTTGCGTGCTATGGCCTCGGGATTTGATCCCATTTGGCAAGTCAACTTGAACCTGGTCATCATTCAGCTGCACTTCATAAGTGTCATCCCTGAAAGCTTCAATTATGCAATTCCTAGCCACATAGCTTATCCTCTGAAATAGCTTATGCACATATGGAGTGATGTTGGTTGTGATTTCCTTGGAGTCCTCCCACTTCTCATTATTTCTCCTCATCATGTACCTCCTCATCCATTCCATTTGGGTGAGGATAGGTTTGTATCTTGCATCTCTGATAACAGAGTTGAAAGTCTCACACATGTTGTTTAGTAACATGTTGGACCTGCAACTGTCACTGAATGCATGTCTGCACCAGTGATGAGTGGGGATGTTCTCCAAATAATTGTAAGCATCCTCATCAAGCTCCCTAATCTGTTGCATGGCTATCTGAAACTCAACCTACAACCACAACAGGAACATTATCATGAAAGAATAACATACACAACTGTTGTTGCTCTTATTTTGCTTTTATACACAACAGGAACATTATTACATGAAGTAGGTACATGAACAGGAACAATATCATGCATTTACTTATTCAAAATAATTTAAGGTCACCTAGAGACTTACAAATGTTGTTGCTCTTGCAGCACTCCAGAAGAGCTCTTTGAAAACTGATCCAGTGAACTTCAACTTGAAATTTGCCCAAATGTGCCTAACACAGAACCTAGTCTCTACATTAGGCACAACTTCAGACAGAGCTTCAACCAGTCCCTGTTTAACATCATCAACAATTACTTGTCACATTTCAAACAATAAAGAACAGGACAGAAAATAAGACTACAATAATCAAAACAATATTACCTTCTGCCTGTCTGACATGAAGGTGAAGCCTGCCCCATCTGAACTTCCAATGCATTGCATCAAGGATTCCAGAAACCAGACCCAAGTCTCCCTGTTTTCAACCTCACAAGTTGCCCAAGCAATGGGGTAAATGCTGTTGTTCCCATCCTTGGAGACTGCAACTAAAATCTGGCCTGGATAAGCTCCTTTCAAGTGGCAGCCATCCACCCCTATAATTGGCCTAAAACCCTTTAAGAACCCATCCTTCAAAGGCCTTAAACAAATAAACATCCTCATAAACAAGGGAGGCTCAGGCTTTTCAATGCCATCAATCACAACATTCCAACCAGACCCAGGGTTGTATTTCATTACAGCCTTCCCATAATCCCATACCCTAGCATATTGCTCTCTTGCTGAACCAAAAAATGATCAACTTAGCTCTACATCTTGCCATCCAAGCCCTGTAGTAGGTCACTTCTACCCCCAAGTTATGAAGCACCCTATCCTTGTACCTCATTCACATCCAAGTTATCTGTCAACCTTGCCTTTGGATCCTTGGAAACCCCCTCATCATGTACATCAAACTGCTTCCCAAGACTTCTTGTTACCTTAGCTAAAATTTCTTCAGAATTCTGCACAAACCACCTCTCATCCCCACTGTCATACTCCTCCTCTCCAGGCTCCCAAGTTATGTCAATCTCACTCCCATCACTTGAAGAAAACTCATCTTCCCTCCCAGTCTCACTGCCCTCACTACTATCCTCAAAAATCAATCCTTTGCCTACAGATTTTTTTTTTCCCTTTCCCTTATCCAACACCTTCACACTGCCAGAACCCCTTTCAAGCTTAGCTTTACCCTTTTGTTTCCCCTTACTCAACAACTTCCCTCTACTAGGAACCCCCTTAATCTCAGCAGAAACCCCTTCAACCCTTTCTATCCCCTGTCTAGATCTAGGTTTAGGAGATTCTTCACCCTCCCTCACCTTAGGCTCATTTTTGTTAATTCTTGGGCTCTTCCTAACTACAGCAGGCTTACCTGAACTTTTCTTCCCCTTTCTCTCAGCCTTTACTGGAGTGGACTAGGCTTGGATCTCATGTATGGGCCTTAATGTTTCATTAGCAGTCACAAATACTTCAACATACCCTTCCCCATTCATTGTCTCCAGCAGCCCCTTCACTTCCTCTTCATTTACTAACTCTCTTCTCCCTGTGTTAAAGGTCCTACCTCTTTCTTTATACCAAAGTCTGTAGTTAGGTGGGACATGGACATTAAAGTTCACAAACCCATGCACAGCAGCTACCCTCAAATAATGCAAATCTATCTTATCCACTACCACATCCCTCCTCCAATAACATAACCCACCACACCAACAAAGCAAATGCTTTGATTTTGACACTTGTTTAGTAACAAAGCACCCCCTACTCTAAATACTATATCAATTAATCCATCTTCGTTGTCGGCCATTTTTCTACCTAATAAACAAATGCAAAGCAAATCAATAAAACCCAACATAGCTAACCCCATTACACAGTCAACCGCAATACTTTAATCAACAAAATCAAACATATTTAAACCAACACAATGACAAACCAGTCAACAGTCAACAAAATCAATGATTTAAACTAAATAATTCACACATTACACCAAATCATACTTAATTTAATCAAATTCAACTTTAATTACAAATTACCCCATTTTACTGTTCTTAGGGTTCCTAATTTTTTTTTTCCCAAATTACCCTACTACACCCACACAAATGGCATAATGCAGCACACGGTACTTGTTGAAAACTACTTTAAAGGGTTCGAAAGGTACCTGTATTGGAATCTTACTCCTGTTGCTGTCAGAATCCACGAAAAATTCCAAGCTTTTTGGATGTTGGAAATGGCTGACGGAATCTCGCTGACTTGTTTCGCTCCAATATTGACACCTCCTCTTCCAACTCAATTTCTCAATCACAACAATCAGTATAGGGTTTGAATGTTCGCAATAATTTTGGTTGTTCAAGATTTGCAGACGAAATTCAATGAAGCAAAATTAGTTGGGTGGTAATAAATGACAGAGAAGATAAATTCGAATTGAAGGGGATGGAATTTGGAGGGTAAACGACTATGTGGGCCCCACCAAAAAATTTCGTCACAGTTTCTGTTATCTGGTGGTGAAAGCAAAATTTTTATTATTTAACAGGTGTTATAATTAAACTTCGAAATCTTAAGGTGTTAAAAACAAAATTAGGTATTTTAACAGGTGTTATTTTCTAATTTAGCCTTAATTAATTCTAAATAAATTTTAGAACTAACTTAATGAGCAAAAAATAAAAATTTTAAACAAGTCTAACTTAATAAAATTTCAAAGTGCAAATAACCAAAATAATTCCAAGAACCATTCTTAATTAAATTGGTTTAGCTTGGTGCAATTTCTCACTTTTAATATAATCAATTTAAATTAAACTTGAGAATTTGACAAAGTAAGGGGAAGTTGGAAAAATATGAACTTTAATGTTCAAATGAAAATTCCAATATCTAAATTTTGTGAAACCTTGAAATTTATATCTTCCAACATGAAGATAACCAAATTTCTATCACAAAAATTGAAACTTTATGTTTCCAACCAACTCTAAATGATTAAAACAACAAAGTTTAACACAAAATAACATGAAATTTAGTGGTTTTTAAAGTTTCAATCACTTATCACAAATAAAGATTGAATCTTTAACACTTAGGAAACCTCAAAACAAAAATTTTCACACTAAAAAGCAATTAGTTTGCAATTATGTGAAAACAAATCAACCTTTAAGCATCAAATACTACCAAGTGTGCTTTGAGGGGACTTAAAAATGCAGAAAATAATGCAAATAATCAACCACATAATCAACAAGTTATGTCATTAATTTCAAGGTTAGAAAAGACTTAAAACTTTTCGTCAAAAACGAAAAATCCCTCGAAAAAGGCATTTCTGGTCTGAATTTGGCTAAAATCACATTTCCTTCAAGATAAAAACCTTTCCAGAACACCTTTTCCACCCAAAATTCACTATTTTAGGGCGAAAATCTGGGTTCTGGGCCAAATTCGACATTAAAAACGGGATTAAAATAAATAAAACCGAGCTACTAATCTAATTAGCCAAAATAAACCTTGAAAAACATGATTATAAAAATAAACAAGCGGGGCTACGATACCGTTGTTGGGGTTTGGTGAGTCCGACTCACCGCGAAAACAACCCCGACCCAAGGAACCACTCGTAATTAATAAAACCATAAAGCATAAATAAATAAGCACAAGAAAAGGAAGAACGAATCATACCATTGAAGCGAGCTTCGCCCTCTCAAAACGGGCTCTTACTTGAAAGCCTTGAGCACCGCAAATGCCGTGCCTCCAACGGTATCCACCCACAAAGGACGAACACGACTTTTTAGGTTCGCTACTTTGGAGTTAGCAAGGTCCGACCAAAACCCATGTGTTAATGGAGTTTAAGAGTTTTTCCAAAATATGAAATGCTCTTTCTAACTCCCACTCAAGCACTTTACTCCAAATCCCAAGGTTGGTATTTATAGAGGAAAGTATGAGTGAGAATTTCTATCCCATCAATGTGGGATCATGAAATTCCACAAATTAATTTAAAGCTAAATTAAATTAAAATTGCAAACTAATAATAAATCTACAAGTGGCATTACCATGTGAAATGGGTTGGTGAGGACCACATGAAGAGTAGGGGACCATACTTGCTCCCCACTCAATACTCTCCTTGTGCCACATGTCCTTACCCACTTGCTCCCATATTCCTCAAGCTTCCCCATAGTGACCGGCCCTATGGCCCAACCACGAGCCCAGCCCCGCACCAAGATGTGGGCTGCTGCTGTGCGCGCAAGCCACGCACTTGGTGCGGGCTTGCTGCTGTGCGTGGTTGCTAGTGCGTGCGCTGCTAGCACGCCTAGCTTGCGGCAGCTAGCTGCTGCACGCACCACGTGCACGCGGCTGCTAGCTGCTGCTGTGCGTGGCTGCTAGCACGGTGCGCTAGCACTTTTTTCCCCTAGCATTCGGATGCTCGGGGCATTTCGATGCTAGGGGTATTTTGGGAATATGGTCGATTTATTATTATTTTGCGCGTCTCGTCTTTTTATTATTATTTACTCGACTTCCGACGATCGGTTTCGACGCTCCAAGTTCGAATTACCGACGTCTAAATATTTAACACTCGGGCGACGGATTAATTTCTTCCGAATTAATACATCGAGTCGGTTCGTATATTTTGCTTGGGTGTGACCTGAAGGGTTCAGTCAAGATTAAGCTGTAATATTAATTATATTAATATCACTGATCGGAAATTGATTAAAAGTGGCACAAAGGATTGTTTATACGAGGTACGTATATGTCTAGTTCGTTGTAAGTAGTATCATGTTTAGGTACCAAAGAAAAGAACTTAGTTTCATGATTAGAGAACACTTGGATGAAAATTGTTTGGCTATACATTTAATTAATTCATGTGCTTATGTTTATGAGACGTGTTTTGGTGAATTGATTATGTTTGTATGGAATTATGGATGCAAACATATTGAATTATATTGGATTAATTGTTCGTATGGAATGTTGATACAAACATATTTTTATTGGATTGGTTTTTTAACCACATTTGGATTATTAAAGGATTGGAATTAAATTGTATAAGTGGAATGAATTTATTAATTACTCCACAAGGTTATTATTATTTTATTTATTACCCAATAATGACTTGTTAGTATGTTGAGTAAAGGTGGATTAAGCCGAATGGCTAGGTGAGTTGACTATGTTCAACAATTTGGATAATTTGGAAGTTTAATGGAATTAAGGGTCAATTTGTGATGTGATCACCATTATCCTAAATAAGATTTAAAGTGAATTGATGTATGATTTTTATGTATGGTCTACTTGATTGAGTCGGCTATTAATTAAATTTGTAATCACGTAAAGTGAAACATGGATGAACAATAAAACTCTGGAAAGTGTGCACTTCTAGAGTATTGACAATTATGGGTTGGGGTACACGGTGGTAGCCCGTGGCTTTCCGAGGCTTGTTTGATCAACATGTCCTATTCTCTTTTGGTATTTAAATTACATTTTTATTTTATAATGAAATTTAGATGGGACCCTAGACTAACTTTGTGAGAATGGAGTCGTGCCCATTCTTGCATCGCGCTAAACTTTTTTTTAAAATGGTCATTTGGGACCAAAATGATTTGGGGGATTGGACAACCTCGTCTATTGATTACTCCAAATTAAATTAATTAAATTAAATATAAAGAGTCAAGTTTTGGAATTTGTTAGTATGTTGAGTCAATTAAATTTGTTTAAGTGTAGAGTCTTGATTAATGAATTCGAGTTGTATGTTTATTTACTTTAATTAGTTGAGCATGCCAGGTTTTGTGCGTTGTAGCTTGTGTGTACTCAGCTTTGGTGATTGCGTTCTTTTGTGTGCGTCTTTCTTTGGTCATGGCCTTCGCCTTTCAATGACCCTGTGATGATCCAATTATTACACTTGTATTATTGGGGAGCAGTATTGCACATGTTAGCTTGATGATGTGAAGTTTGGGATTTGACATACGCATTGTCAAGGGATTGGTGTGATTGAGAGTATTCGATTCTTGTGTTGAACTCATTTATGCTTTGCTATTCATTTATGTTTTGGATTTTGATTGTTGGTTTGGTTTAAATAAGGGCCTTATATGGTTCCAATTTGTAAGTTTTGACTTATGGGTTTTCTAAACTATATTATTTTAAAGACTTATGTTTAGTTATCCACTGCGGTACTTTGGTAAAGCCTTAACGTTTTAACACGTGGCGGTAACATGCCAATGGTTCTCCACTATTTTATTTAAATTAAGTGGTTTGGAAAAGGGAGAATTATTGGGGTGTTACATATTAAGGTTATAATTATTTGTAGGGTGTGTTCGATCAAGGTTCTTTTTGTGGTTTTTCTAGCAATGATCAAGGTATGTTTAAGTGGCTAGATACCTTTGAAAGTGATTGGTTTGAATAACATGTTTTACATGATTTGATTGGTGATTGAATTAAATTGATTTGAATTATGATTTTGAAATAAATTATGTTTGAAGGTTTTTATTAATAAAAGTATTTTGAATAATTGATTTTTAAATCATGTTTTGAATGGTTTGGATTACTTATCGTGTTTGATTTTAAAAGGTTTGTTGAATTAAATAGAGGTTTTTCAAGGAAGAGTTATGGATTTTGAAAAGTTATTAATATGAGATTTTATTCTCAAGTATTTATTTACAAGGTTTGATTTTGAAAGCATGTGAAATTAATTAAAAAGGATTTTGAATTATATTGGAACTATTGGATATTAAAAGGATTTATTGAACCATTGAATTATTATTATTAATGCTTTATAAGCATGTTGGTAATCCCACTATGCGGATTTTGTTTATTGATAAGGCCTTGGACTTTTATGACCAGGTTCTTCAAGAATAGCCTTGTAATATAAGGAGACTAGCTTGGGGGGTGTGCACACTTGGGTGAGGAATTGGATTAAATTGGTTCTTAATAAAGAAATTGGTAAGAAATTGGTTTTATTAACTATTATTTTGAATATGAATCATTGGAATCGATTTTGGAATAATGAGCTTTGAATTTATTGGATTAATTATTGGAATTGGTTTTAAAAGCATGTTTGCAAATATATTGAGTTTACACTATCTTGCACTTATTGTACTTAGCATAATTTGCTAATCCGTATTCCTTATTTGTTTTGGTTCGACCTGTTTACCGTAATGGTAAGCAGTGTTGACTATTTTCAGGTGGAGTCATGAATGGCATATGGGAGTCCAAGGATTTGCTTCACGTAGTTTAGGAATGTGTCTTGTCTTTATTTTGAGTACTCATACCAATGTTACTATTTTTAAAAGTATTAATAAAAGAAAGTTGAGTTTCCGCTACAAGTTTTGTTGTTGAGTTAAGTATTTTGAGTAGCCTTGCGTAATCACGCGACGA